CTGTGATGAAATAGAAAATTAGTGTTTGTGTGGTTCAGTATGAAGCGTATTTTTCAGGTCTATTTGTTTGAAATACTTTGACGCTAACTGGTAAATAGTTAGACACACTGGTGTGTTTTCTAAAAGTTGGTCAAATACATTTATATTCTGTCTATCAGAGAAGAACTGACCAGACAAATGTTAATTCATAAAATCATTATTCACATTTGCAACGTTTTTTCGGTTGTGTCTTGCAGGTTGCTGAGTATTTGTGCTTATTTGTCCTATTATATTTGCACCGTGGACCAAGAACTTCACAATTTAGTTTCTTTGTAAACTTGTCTGAGATAAAAATAGACTTTGTTTTGACTTAGTCTTTAAATGTCTGCTACTTCAGTCTTTCAGGTAAACTCACGCATAAAGCTGCAGCTATCAGTGATCCATCTGTTTTCTAAAGGTAGAGATGAGACATGATGAGAGCTGCAATAAATGTTTTTATTCCAACTTCTATGCATATTGTCCTATAGAAATTCAGTATTTCTTATTTCTTCTGACACATGAAGGATTTTGTACAGCAGCTGAAACAGCTCCAGTCACTGTGGGTCTCGAGCACAATAATAAACAGCAGAATCTTCAGTCTTCAGGCTGTTCATCTGCAGATACAGCTGCTGTCTGCTGTTGTCTCTGGAGATGGTGAACCGGCCTCTGACTGACTGAGAGTAGAAGATGCCACTACTATCAGTGTAAATGTAAGCAATCCACTCCAGTCCTTTTCCAGGAGCCTGTCTGACCCAGCCCATATGGTAGCTGCTGAATGTGAATCCAGAGGCTGTACAGGTCAGTCTGTGTGAATCTCCTGGTCTTTTAACTGCTGGTTCAGACTCTGTAAGAGTCTGACTATCAACACCTGTCAACAGAAATAAAGAGAGAGAATAAAAAAAATAAAAAATTACAATGATTTTTTTGGGTAAAAGTTTTACCTGCACAGCAGACAGTCAAAAGTATCAGGGCTATCTTACAATCCATTTTGAGTAACTGTCTGTCCACTATTCCCTGCATGCTTTGAGCAGTCTGATAAGTAGAGGTAGAAGAAAGGATATTTGCATCAGCTCCTCCTCAACAAGAAGACAGAAAA